ATATATATATATATATTTGAAACTGCTAATAAATAACTATCTCTAAACTACTCAAAACTGCTCAGACATTTAATCATTAACTACTTACTCATATTCAACTTTAATTAATTAATTCCTATTTTTTAAATTAAATATATGGAGGCATGAAGTGTTTCTTTTCGTAAATTTCAGATAACTATAATCATTTAATACTTCAAATAAGGAAAGGCCCACGTTGAATGTATTCATTGATTTCCTCTGTACTAAAGTGTTTTGGCACTTTTTACTTGATTTCACCTTTGGTTAGTATTAAACAAACACCACTAATATTTTTCAGTGCTGAAACTTATATTTTTATGCACTGAGTTGAGCTTCCAAACAGCCTAAACAGCAGTAGCTTTGTGTTCAATTTCAATAATATCTCATCTGTTGACCTTGACTGCTTACAGTATATGGTTTTTGTGGTTTTGCTTATCATGCTGGAGGCTGCAGTAACTGTTGATGTGTTTCTAAACCAGGACTGGGAGAAGGTATTGTATATGATAAACTTTCTCTGCAATGTGTTTGTTAATTCAATACTTCTATAGTCTTCTCTTCCAGTGATATCAAATGTGTTAAACCATTGACTGAGCCATTCAAACATGGAAAATTGGAATCAGGACTTTCCAAAGGATCCCTCGGGGTATTTTGATCAGTTCAAGAATTTTATCAGGTCAAATTATGAGATGTGCAAATGGGTAGGCCTGTCACTTGTTTCTGTACAGGTAAATCTCCTTCTCTCTGTGTGGAACTAATATACCAATTTATCACACAACTACTGTTGAATCCTAATTACTGAATGTCAAAACTTCTTACTGAGATCCAACTTCCAAGATGATTACAAATTTTCTATGCCGTTAAGTTATTTCATTCAAGAGAACTTGGTATTCTGGTTTGTTCAGTTATTGGTAATATTGGTGCATATTTTATGATTAAGAGATTGATATAGGTAATACTCCTGTTGTGGATGATTTTGAACCTATTATTCTGTGTATATTATTAGTATGTAAAACAACTGACAACTGGTCACTGTTTCTTTAATTCATTTGTTCTGTCAGTATAGTACATGATTAGCTAGTGCATATTTCTTCTGCTTTGTTACATATATCTTCTGATTATTACTGGTTTTAAAAATTGAAGATGAAGTTACTTTTGGAATTTGGGTTAATGAATGATGCAGTGATGGATTGCTGTCTGTGCTGTTAACAAACAGGGACTCTCTTTATTATTGGCAATGATACTCAAAGCGCTAGGGCCACATCAATATTATGACAGTGATGATGAATATGCTCCTGACAGGGTGCCACTCTTGAAGAATGCTCCACCTCATTTTGTTGTTGTTGATCAAGGATATGCACACGGACCTAAAAACGAATCATGGATTAAGTAACAAGGTAAAAAAGATTGGAATTCTATAATTGATCATAATATTCTTATTTGTGTCATGTTGGATCTCCTTTATCATCTATTTCACTAGTTTGATTCGAATACCTATTACAATGCATCAACCTCATTCTTATATGATTTGAAGAGACAAGTAGGGCTATTGACTGTACTTTGATCTATACTATAATTTATGAACTTGAAATTGGTTATGTATTAGGTTAGAATCTGTAGCATATATGTTTGTGATATCAATTTTCTTCATTCCTCTTTTTTAGAATTTGTTTACAAATTAAACCATTAACCTCTGCTAATGATTTTTTCCCCGTGATAATGATATTGATTTAATTTTAATGTTAACATTGTTCGGTTAGTGGCCAGATACTTGATGAAATATCTATTGGATTTTATTTAGTCACTATTTATTAGTTATCTTGGTGGATAAGGATTCATTTTTGTTTTATTGTATATCAGTCAGCATGTTAAACCTTGGTTATTGCTTGTGCTTCTCTCCTTTTTTATGAAAGTTTCCTTCTTAATCAGACAAATAGGTAAGGTCATTTCTTTGACTTGAACCTTGACGTTTGGACCCATGGAAGGTTAGCTAGGCAGTCCTTTTCGATGCTAGTTGGCTTAGAAGAGGACCTGTGTGCTGTATGCTGGAGATGGATTAGCTATTTGGATTAATGGCTATGGAAGAAACAAGTGCCTATCGTGACCCTTGCATCTGTTACACCAATTTCATACAGTTATGAGCAAATGTATGTGTCATATGATTCATGTCTGTATATCGTAAATATAATGTAGAACCTCTTGATATGAACGACCCCCTGTATCTTCTGTTATAAGTATCTCAGAAGTTGGATCAATAGATATCAACAAATATTCTTGTGTTTAACCTGGCTACTCACCATTGACCATTCATCCTTTGTGGATACAAAATGGAATTTTGGTGCCTGGTGCATTTACACAAAAACATGATTGTCCTTTTTTGTTTCTGCGCCTTTTTTCTTTTGAAATTTTTTAGACTTGCAATTCTGATAAATTCATTTCGTCATCTTTGGAATTGACATGTTAGTTAACAGTGATAACTGATTATGAGATGTGTAATGAAATAAATTTGGGTACTTGAGAACTTCATTTAGGTTATTTTGTTTGGTCTAAGTGCTGTATAGTCTGATGAATATGTTTTGAATTTCCTAAGTGGTGATGGAAGCCGTTTTCAAGCTGCAGTTACACTTAGCATTATCCTTTTCTTTTTACTCGGATGATGTGCAAATCATATAGAATTTAATTAACATATTTCACGAATTCTATTCTCATATACATGTTGAAATAGCTTATGAATATCATTTCAAGAAAGAAAAAGATTACAAAGCGCTTAAGCAAGAGGGAAAAATATATAATCCTTAAATTTGTACCTTAATATTTTGACCAGGTCTAAATTTAGGAATGAAAATAGATTAACGTATACCAGACTGAGTATATTGATTAGGTCTGGTTTGTAAAATTAAAGTATAATCTTGATCTATTACTTTTTATAGATTTTTTTTTCATATGTCTGGTGTGTTCTTTTTAAAAAAAGAAGTCTAGGCTAGAAGTATATTTAAAAACTTATTTTACACTTATAAGTTAATAAATTTAATTTTAAATAAGTCAATAATATGGTTTTAAATGTGATTTTTTTTAATTTAAGTGATAAAAAATAGTTTATTTATTATTACTAAAATTTAGGTTTTAAAAGAAATTTTTTTTTGCAATTTTTGCTACAATTTTGATGATCATAAAAAAAAAATTTCCATGATAAAAATTTGCAGAAAATGTTGTAAGAATTTTATCTTGTTTCTTGCGAATTTTCTTGTAAAAATAAATTCGCAAGTAATGTTTACTAAATGGTAGAAAAATTTTCCAAGTAACTTTTCTTGCATATTTTCTTGCCAAATTTAATCCACAAGAGAAACAATATATATATATATATATATATATATATATATATATATTAATTACAGTCATACATAAATTGTGATAATTATCCACAAGTTTTATTTTTAAAATTATTTTCTATACTTTACTTGAAATATTTTAAATAATCAATTATGATGATGAAGAAAAATAGTAGGCAAAGACAACTACTAGAAGAATGTAATAATTAAGTATAATGGAAACACATAAAATATACATAATTTAATTTTTTATATTATAAATTATTTATTTGTATTATCAATAATGTAATATGTATATTAATTTATATAATATTATATTATATAACTAAATAGGTTTACTAGATTTTATTATAAGTTTAAATTTAACTTATTTAAATAAATAAATTTTTTAAACACCTAAACTTAACTTTTTTTATTAAATAGGTTAAGTTAAACCAAACTTTAAATAAGTCAAGCTATTGGTTTGTTATTTAAAGTTTAATTTATTATCATTTCTGTATCTACACCTTAGACATAGTTTCATCATGATTGGAGTTTGAAGATAACTTAGTGCTTATTTGGATAAAATGCAAATATAATAAAATATTTTGCGAGGTCTTTATATTTGAAAATTATGAAAATAAAACAAGGTTATGTTTTATTAGTAAGTTAAAAATGTTATTAGAGAGAGAGAGCTTAATTAAATTCTGCACCTAAAATGCTTTAAATAATTTAATTTAAAATATTCTTTGTTTGTTTAATGATATTGATATTTTTCACTTTGTTAACCATACCAACACTAAATTAACTGGGGCTAATGGTAGGTCCAAAATAGAACACTAAAAAAAATGTCAATGATCTATTGACAATTTTTTTCGCAATGAATTTAGTGATTGATATTTATATATATAAAAAAAAAAACTTAAAACATATTTAAATCTTAATAAATTTTTATTTAAATATCATGCACATTTTTATAATATTTTTTTAAAAAAAATAAAATCTTAATGTAATACTCCTCTAAATCTTTCTACTGAAATCATTGAAAAACATAATATTAATAAATATTTATGATCTTATGTGTTTTGATTGACACCAATCGCATACAAATTTGAAGGGACTATTCATAGTAGTTTCTAGCCATACAAGACATCAACACATTCACTTTTTGAAAGGTAGTAAGAAACTACACGCTGACTCTTGAACCGATCAATTAGTGGTTGCCGAAGCTGCTTTAGCTCTTTTGTGTCTTAATAACAATCACTTCATACTTCAAATTTGGTCTGTCAAAGTCGAAGCTTCTTTCAAGAACTAGGGCATAGGCTTTTCTTAAAATATATGTCCTGAAAAATAAAAACCATTTAAAGGCGAAAAATGAAGGGGAGAATATTGTTTTTCATCTCCTTATTGCTTCGGCCCACATTTCGAAAACTAATTTCTGAAATATTTATCTATCAGTATAAATACGATTTGGAAATTAATTAAAAGGATATTTTTAGAGGGAAAAAAAGTACCAATAATGCAAAGGGGGTCATTTAGCAGTAAGGAGATGAAAAATAAAGAGAAAATTTCCAGGAATGAAAAGTAGAACTTAATCATTTTATATGCATTAAAAACATATATAAGTATATATTAATATATTGTAAAAGAATATAATAACTGTACTAAAAAAGTTATTATTCGTATTTTCTGAATTAGTTGATCTGCTAATTAATTCTAGAAGGTCTTTGAATGACCTAAGTCTACCACAGCCAAATATTGACTTTTATAAAAATTTAACCTAGCTGCTCGTTTCCAAAATGGTCCTTTATTAAATTACAACCTAACAAAAAAAAAATACATTCATTTTCATTAATAATATTTTCGTGGTGAATTTCTTTAATAACATTTAATTTATAGTTACTATAGTAAATTCAATTTGTATTATCACTATTTTTATTTTATAGGACACAAAATATATATAATTTATTGTGATATTTTCAAAATTGACATAATTTATTATATTTTTAATAAATTAAAAAATATATTTAATTATCATTAATTTTAATCATAATATTGGATTCAAATTAGATTAATATGGTATGAACAAGCATTTTTATTCATTATATGACTTGATCAAAATAGTTTGGCTTTAAACATTGTACGTTAATTTGTCTTGATCTAGCTATAAAACTCAAAGAAATCTAAAAAGTTGGTAAGTCAACAAGAAAAAGAACAAATATATTGAAGTTTCCGTATAATCAACAAAGAAATTAAGATCATGAAGTTGACTTTTAATAAAATCTGCCACTGGATTGGCCTCGCTGTCACAAACGGAGAACAGGTCATCATTGTAACAATAATGAGAGCTTAAATTTTATCATGTCTACATCTTCCGTTCTTATAAGATCGTGGTGTGGGAAAGGAAATAAATATAAGATCTAAGTATTCACAATTCATGAATAAATGGTTAAAAAAACTGACTTCACGTCAACCAAGAATTATATATGCACGGAAATAACGATACCTACCATATACATTCACATTCTACATGTCTTTTTTTATATACAAATTATTAATATAAAATATCTACCCATTTTATTAATGATTATTCTTTATAGAGGATATGAATGATCATCTTTTATGAGATTTCTTCTTTTAATTATATATTTTTTTTATCTATAAAACTCGAGTAGAATCCCTTAAGAAATTTGAGTTGAGTATTATTCTAACAACTTTTCATATACAACATCTTTGATAATAGTAGATGTGAATTAATTACTCAATTCATATAATAAAATAATTTATAGAGAGATGTATGACTTGTTACTTGATTTATATAGAGGTGATGCGGGTTACATCTGCTGCGAGTGTATACATTACAATCCTAATTTTCTGGGTTTAGTGTAGTTAATCGATTAGCATAGCTAAATCATGACTCGTGATCATGTGCAAATTCCAATCGACCCAGATGATGCAAACTGGAGGGGAAGATGCAACAGGAGGATGAAGGAGCTGAAGAATAAGCAATTCCCAAGTGATGATGCAGCCTCATCGGGACTAATGCATAAGGAACTTATTGGGGAGAAAAACGTGATGATTCCTGAGTTGTACAAAGGTGTTGAAAAAGAAAAGGTGGATGAGTTTGTGGATGTGTTGGAACAAGTTTGTGTGCAAAGGAAACTAGCTTTGTGCGATGTTTTTGATCAAGTGACACGTGCAGGTGATTCAATGCTTCACATGGCAGTGCGTTTGGGGAAAGAGAAGATTGTGGAGCTGATTTCTCGTCACTTTCCTAAGCTTCTTATTAGGAGAAACGTGAGAGGGGACACTCCACTTCATGTTGCTGTGAGGTTCAAGCACTGTGGCATAGTCAAGCTCATTCTCTCACAATATGGCACAGAGAAGGCAAAACATGATGGCATGAAGGATATAACAAGAGAGAAAAATGAACATGGGGACACCCCTTTGCACGAGGCTGTGAATAGTAAGGATTTTGGTGTGGTTAAAGTGATTTTTGATGCAGATAAGGATGTGGTCCATTGTTTGAACAAGTCAAAGCGATCACCACTGTTTTTGGCAGTTGTGAATGGGAATAAAGACATTCTGAATCTTCTATTGAAAATTCCATTCCCTGCAGATAAACGGCTTCCACAGCACTTTGGAAACTCTCCACTCCATGCAGCAATACTGGAACGGAATCCTGGTATTTCTTCTTTACACCAAATTATTTTTTTCCCACGTTGATATAACTATACTTATACTATTTTAATTAAACATTGGTCGATATAAATAGAACCACCTCATAACTCATAAATTATCCGAAACTCAAATGTTAGATATGGAATAAATTATGTCAGACAAATCAATATCAGTAGGTAATAAATAATTTATACGAATATTATGATTATACAATTTTTTTAAATTAAACACTGGTTTCATGCATTAATAAATAAAGCTGTGTACATAATTTTAAACAATTAAACCTGCAAGTTGATCGTATTATTCACAACTTGCCTGCGTGAGGTAATTAGACTAGTATAATATAGGTACGTCTAAATGTAAGGGTTGTTGACTTATTTTGCACTAGTTATGGGTTAAAAGAACTTGCTAATTTGTGGGTCAAGGGGCTAATTAATCACGGGCCAAATATTTTACTAGCCCATATAGAACAACCAAGTCCAATACATAAAATGGGGATTCATAATCGATTGGGCTTAAAAGGGCTAAGCTAACCTGCTTGCATACCTAGCCCGGCCCTACTTATAATAGGATGATGATATATACACCTCCTATTTTTTATAAATACACCTCCAATCTCTTTTTTTTTTATATAAATAAAATTCCTAAAATATCCTTATAACTAAATATGATTATGTTGATGGAAACGTTAATTTTAGCATTCCAGAAAGTATTTTCTGGAATAGTAAAATTATTGTTCCGGAAAGCATTTTCCGGAAGTATGTTTCTTATATAATTCTAGAAAGTTCTTTCTGGAACATTAAATTTAGTATTCCGGAAAATATTTTCCGGAATTATGTAACAAGCACACTTCTGGAAAATACTTTCAAGAATAAAAAATTTACTATTCCTAAATATACTTTCCGAAACAAAAGCTTTATTATTCTGGAAAACACTTTCCGGAACAAAGAGTGAGAAGAATTACTTGGAAGAAAAAATACATATGGTTTGACACATTTCCCTTTGATATTGAACCCACTTACAACTTATAACAAAACTAAAATGGGAAGAGGATAATGCAAAAATTGAAAAGGTAAGAAGGGGAGGTATGGAGGTGCGGAGAAAAAAGTAAAGAAGAAGAAACAGGGTGCACAAAAAAAGAAAGAAGAACGGTGAGAAAGAGGGTGTGAATCTGAAAAATTATAAGTTAGAAAAATAATAAATTCGGAAGTGTGCTTGTTACATAATTGTGGAAAATATTTTCCAAAATACTAAATTTAATGTTCTGGAAAGAAATTTCCGGAATTATATAAGAAACACACTTCCGGAAAATGCTTTCTGGAATAATAATTTTACTATTCCGGAAAATACTTTCCAGAATGCTAAAATTAACGTTTCCATCAATATAATCGTATTTAGTTAAAAGGATATTTTAGGAATTTTATTTAAAAAAAAAAAGAGATTGGAAGTGTATTTATAAAAAATAGGAGATGTATATATCATCACCCCTTATAATATGGAAAACCTTGAAAATTACTAAAACTAAGTTGGAAATAGCTTATTACAATAAAGTTTGCCATAAAATTTATTTAAAATAAGTATAAAAGAACATATAAAAGGCTTATTATAAGTCTAAATAAGTTTAGCATAAATTCTAGCTCCCGAATGCCACTTTGTAAGAAAAATTAAGCATACTTTTTATATTAATAGGATACAAAATTTTGTTAGAAAAATATTTCTATAACAAATATATTTAATTAGAATTGTTTACTTTGTCCCTCACAAGTGCTTAATAAAATTATTTTACTTTTCCTTTTGTTGAATTATAGATCTAATAGAAGAGATACTAAAGGAAAGACCAGAGCTAGTGTATTTAAGGGATGAACATGGAGGTACTCCACTTCATTATGCAGCTTATGTTGGTTATGATGAAGGATTTCATATACTGTTACAAAATTCGAAATCAGATCAAACTGCCTTAGAAGGGAACAAGAAAGGTCATCTTCCTATTCACCTTGCATGCAAAAAGGGTCATATTAAGGTGGTAAAAAAATTCCTTCAACATGAATGGCCTATTAAACTTCACCTTCTCCTCAATCAAAAGGGTCAGAACCTTCTTCATGTTGCGGCCAAAAATGGAAGAAGTAATGTGGTACAATACCTTTTGAAAAATCCGAAGATTAATGACGTTACTATAAACCAAACAGACAATGATGGAAACACTCCACTGCATTTGGCTTCAATGAATTTATTCCCTAGAGTTGTGTACTTTATGACCGGAGATAAGAGGACAAAAGTGGATCTCTTGAATAACAAGGGTTTAAGGGCTCAAGATATCGTTCGTCTGGCTGGGAAAAATCAAAGGTCGATTCGACAGGTATGATCTCTAGAAGTGCTCAAGGCTCCATATATAATAATGACTTTATGCACTAGAATAATATGTTTCAAACAAATAATGGATGATAAAAAGATAGGATGAAATTATGTAAAATGGTATTAAATTCAACATTAAATTAATTTTTTATCCATCTTTTTTTCTAAATCATTGTTTTGAAAACCAAACTTCACATGTCATATTTCTAACCGTTTGATTGGGAACTAGAATAGTGATCAATCCTTTAACTTCTAAGACATAATTCATCTCATAATTTATAAGAATCAACTTATCTAATCCAAAACTCAAAAAAAAAAAAAACTTGGATATATTTCAGAATTTACATTTTTTTTTTTATTTTCTTACTGATTTAATCTAATCTAAAACAATTATTAATTATAAGATAAATAAAAATATGATTTAGAGATTAGTATAAATTATTTGACAATTATTATTCAATTTAATTCACCTGTACTTACATTATTCAATTTGGTTTTTAATTTCTATTTTTAAAAAAAAATTCAAATTCATATATATATTTTCTTAAAATGTTCAAGGTTGTTCTTTCATTCAATTTCATTTATTAATGTCAACTTAGATATAAGTATAACAACAGATATTTTTTAAAATTAAAAGACCAAATTTAACATTTAAAAAAAAAGGAACTATATGAATAATGTAAATAAAAAAGGATAAAAAATTAATTTAACCTATTTTCTATGATGTGAAAATCAATTAAAATTGATATTCAGCAAAATACTTTATCATTTGAAATGTTTAATTATTTGGTTTCAGTGTGAATATATCTAAATGGTAGAATTATAATTTTTCTTTTTTCATTTATTTTGCTGCATGTTATTTCATTGTATTCTATACCACTTGTTGCTGATGCATAGCATCTAATGTTATTTTCTACTCTCTTTTTAGAGTTTCAATTTGTTGATGATGCATAAGATCTAATGTTATTTTGTACTGTCTTGGTGTAGTTCCTTGCTAATCTAGTATTTAAAGAAGCTGGCGTCCCCTTGAAGGTGAATGATGTGTTATATTCTCATCACCAACCATCACCAAAACCAGAAATGAGTTTAAAAGATCTCCTAAACACATTTTTAGTGGTGGCCACATTGATGGTCACTGTGACTTTTGCTGCTGCTTTCACTGTGCCAGGAGGTGTATATGGTTCTGATGATCCAGACCCAGAAAAGAGAGGGATGGCAGTTTTGGCTCATAAACCATTTTTTTGGGTATTCACCACCTTCAACGTGATAGCTATGTATAGCTCCGTAATTGCATGTGGACTTATGTTGATGGCAATGATTTTTGATCGTAAATTGGCAACACGAGTAACTATTCTTGCAATGTTGTGCTTGGTTATTGCCTTTTTAACAGTACCTGTAGCATTTATGGCTGCTGTACGTTTAGTTGTGGCCAATGACTCTGCACTTGCCCTTCTTATAACTATCATCGGAGGTTTGTACACTTTTCTCATCTTGTTGGCTTTGCTCTCGGGATTTTTTCCCGTTGGAATTGGCCTTAAGATTCCTCTATTGCGTCATGCTGGTAGACTCGTTCTCTGGATTTTAATCACAAAATTAATAGATTATGATGATAAGCCTCAGAAAGAGGACAAGACAAGGATGGTTAATTAGAGGAGCATACATGTGTAATAAGGAGATTGAACCATGTATTGGTGTATATTGTACTGCTTTCATCGGATAAAATGAGAATGAAAATCGTTCAATTTTGTTTCTGTTATCTAATTTTTCTTTGTGTATGATGTGGATATGAAAACTTGGGATTTGTGTTGCAAAAATATAATTAATTAGTTACATTAAAATTGAAATATTGATTGAAAATTGAACAATTTTTTTTAATTAGAAGTTAAATTATTTTTAAATTAGTTTATTAAATTAAAAGTATTTGCTCACTTCTAGAATATATTTCTGTCACCACGGATATTAATCACATAACTATCGTCACATTAGAACTTCATAAAAATGGTGGGGAGTGGAATCATGCCCCCAAAAACATTAAAAGTTGAGGTATTCTAAGAATATAGTTATAAGTCAACTTGCACTTGATATTTAAGGGATTGATGCTTAATAAGGGAACTTATGCTCTTTTCTCTAAAGAATTAGGATTTGAGTGTTTAAATGAATGAAAGTGAGGTTTAATAAAGTTGTTTGTCAAGTGACATCAATTGTCCCATGATAGAAATCCAGGTGGGTACGTCAAGTCACAGTCAATACATAGTGTTTGGACTGCTACGATTAAGTAAAAAGAGTTGCACCCTGACTAACAACTATAGTTTTTGGCCTAGTGGTGAGTGCTCAATCCAATAATTAGTATCAAAGCCAAGGTTGCATGGTTGATTCCTAGCAAGAGCAATTGCTGAGGGAGAGATTATTTGTCGGGTGGATCAATTGTCCCATGGTGGAGGCTCAGGTGGATCAAGTCACAATCAACATGTGGCGCTAGGGTTGTTACGATTAAGTAGAAAGAGTTGCGTGTTGACTAATAACTATAACTTTTGGCCTAGTGGTAAGCACTTGATCCAACAAAAGTATAACTCCAACATTAACATATTATTTCATTTTTTATCTAAATTATCTTTTACATGTTAATAAAAATGCCAAAATGAATTTTATCTTTCCATTAATTGCACTATTTTTATTTCTTTTTCCAATCAAAATCTATTAACGGGGTCTTCTTTGTATAAAGTAGCGATTGAAGTTGTTTGAACAGCAGCTTAGGTTGTATAATTTACTTTTATTGGATTATTGTATTTATATCATATATGTTTACATAGTTATTTTGTTTTCATATGTATGGTATATAGTACATGTCCAGATATCAGTAAACTTATAATTCTAAGTTATTAGTTGTTAGTAATTGTGTCATTAGTGTAAGGATCATGGTAGGTCATTAAAAGTCCAAAGTCAAATATTCGATTTTCGCTCAACCAAAGATCAACTTTGGTTGAGCCAATTTCTCCTAATGGCCCATTTCTTTTTCAAGACATTTGCTTAGTGAAAACACATGGCTCGCTAAGTGAATTTGTATCAAACATTCAAAATGTAAGGACAAAATAAATTTTTAGGTTAGACTTTTGGATATCTTGTAATAACTTCGTGATAAGACGTTTTGGGTGGCTAGAAGAACCTTAGAGCTCTATTCTTCATCTTTTCCATTTTTTCTTCAATCTTTGTGTTTCCCTTGATTATGAGTAGCTAATTTCTCCTTCATTGAGATTAGGTGTAACTAAAGGAACCTCACATATTAACTTTGCTTCATTAATTGATGTTTTATTCCCTTATTTAATATTTTTCTCTTCTCTTAATGCTCTCTTAATTATTTTTTATCTTGAGTTGATGATTTTACTTGAATAGTCATTAGAAAATGCTTCTTGAGTTGTGTATGAGTCAAATCCATGAATATTTTGTTTAGGGATAAGCATGAGTTCGATGAACATATTATCGCTATCCATGTTTCTAATGCTTGTATTTCATATCACTTTGGCCAAAAGATTGGTAATTTGGGTGAAATACATGGTTTCAAGCCTATAAGAGATATTTTTTGGTGCTAATGTTGAGTAATGGTTTAAAATATAGATGAAAATCCTTTATTAAAAAAATACATGATGGTGAACTAGTGAAATCCAATCTCAATGGTTATCTCCATTTGATTCTTTTAATATCATGTTGTCAAGTGTTTGATAAATTTTCTAAAAATAACTTTATATTTCTTTTACTTACTTTATTGCTTTTAAGTTTATTTTTGCAAAATCAACTTCCAACAAATTACAATTTTATTCTTTTGAGTTCTAGTAAGGTGTGTTGGGTTATAATTGTCATATATTACACAATTTTCTTTGAAAGACAATCTTATTTCAAAAATACTACATGCTTGTCAAGCTATCAATAGTGGGTCAACCTGATCCACCATGAGTTAGCCCGTGGTGAACTAGGTTATAAGTGGAGTGGGTCAAAAAAATTTATAATTAAAATAGAACAAACTTTTTTAACCTAATTCAACTCAAACTTATAGTGAATCAAGTTGACTCATGAATTCTAACTCATTTTGATGACTCTACTTGATTCACTTGCCAAATTCACTTAACATGTTTTTAACATTATATATAATTAATTGTAGAATAAAAATATGTATGGAACTTAAATTATAGTATATTTTATAATATATAATATAAACCAAACAATATAATTATAAATAAAATATCATATTTTACAAGATTTATCTATTAAATCAAAAGGTTTTATTATTGATACATAAAACATGTACCTTTTAAGAAAATATAAGACATCAAATAAGGTTAAAACAACTCAAAACATATCTCAAATCTATAAATAAATAATAATAAAAAGTACAACATATCTGAATTCAAAATCAAAATTAATTTTGTTGGATCCGATTTAACAAGCTAAATTAATCATATACTTGCCTTAATTAAAACTCTTTATATAAAATTAATGGGTTGAGATATTTTATATTTTATTTAATAAAAATATTTAAAAATTATTAATATTTGTTAGATCAATTAGTGTTGTGTTTGATTTTCAATCTCAAAATTTTGAGTTGGAATCTTATATTTGTAAATAATTGATTTTTAATAATATTTTTTATTATTTAAAAATTTAATCATCTAAAAAAAATTGTATACCTCAAATTCTTTTATATATGATATAGACAACTAGTTTAAACAATTTTTTTAATATAGATTTTGTATACGCTTCCTTTGATTTAGACAAACAAAAACAGAGAGAATGAAAAGTTTTAAAATTTAAATTAAAGAGAAAAAAAGTTTTATATGTAAAAGTGATTATTTTCTTCTTTTTTAAATTTTTCTTTTTAAAAAATTACATAACCATGGGTGTTGTTAATTGTCCCTATGGTACAAACAAAACATGAGTGTAGGTGTAACATAAAGAGAGAGTAGCATGTGTAGATGGGAAAGCTACATAGAGAAGTAGTCCTGTGCCTAGCTGTGAGTGTTTTCCTCCCAAAAGGGGAATGAAATTATACAATTCCTGATTCTTTTAAGACCTACAAAGCCTGACAGACACAGTTGAGAGAATCGGGCCAATCTTCTACGCCCTACCATGTGCCTCAACTCTGCTTCCACACGCTACAACGATCAAACACTACAACCATTCACCACATTCTTTCCTCTCCAACCTAGGGAGCCCCATCATGTTACTCTTTTCTTATTATATTCAATCTTTTCTATATATCCCTAATGTCACCATTTATTTTTAATATATACTATGGTCTGCTTGTAAAAATAAATCCAGTCAAATCACATGGAGTGGAACCGCAACCCTCTTTAACCACCACTTAATCATACTTTATCGAAACTAACCATGAGTCCATGACCACTTTTAAGTCATACCACACTCTTTTGAGTAGATATCGTGATTCATGGGCATTTGGTTTTTGTTATTATTATATTAAAATATGCTATTTTGTTGAGCAATTATGTTGCAGCCACTTTGTCTGAAACCACAAGTACAAGTGAGAAACCGTGACTTTGTTCGTCGGAGTGGAAGACTTTTTAAACTTACAATATTTCACTTGCATAATAATGTTTCTTTATTATATATGCATCGTTTTACAGGTATTATGCAAATCAAAGATCTTGTGCAAATCAGTTGAAGAGAACTTTATACCAGTTCACTCTCCCTTTCAAGTAAATCTTCCATTAAAGGCATTCCAATCCATCCATATCTTTATTTGATTTGATGCTTTGTTTTTAAAAGCCTAGTACTTCTTACACCGTTACACGTGGTTTGCATACCTCATCATTCTCCGATAATCAAGGAATCAAATAGTCAGAATGCGCAAAATGAAAATTATGTAACCCTCCCACCAAAAGATTTTCGAATAAAAACTTAAGTTAATATTTTCTTTTTGCTATAACCACGTGTCTATTGTTTTTAAATTCTACTTTTTGAGCTATCAATTTATGATTATAATATTACATAAGATGATTATAAAATATCTTTATATATATATATATATAGTAATTTATATAAATTGTGAAATAAAAATTCTAAGTCATTAGTTAAGTAGCATCTATAATATTTATACAAAAGTAATCTTGAGTTACACTGCTATCCAACATGATATATGAAACAATCAATTCCTTAAACTTAATCACGTCTTGCTTCGATATAAATATGATTATTATAGTTTATTCACTACAAAACATACAATAATAAGCTAGTATAAAGAATCAACATTGTATAGAAGAATTAGCTAACTATACTACAACTTAACTACACAACACATGTTCTCAACTTACAATGTAATTATACATTCACTACTATCTCACAATGGCACATAAGTAATACTACAAAATCTTCAACTTTTCCACGATACAACATAGTGTATGCTTAACATCATACCTAACTTGATACAGGTGAAATAATACAACTAAAGCAACTCAACTTCTAAGTAACACAAACATAACACCTCCCTAACATTCCACAACTTTTAGAATTTTTTTTATTATCATAACACCATAACTCCCCCACACAATTGAATTCATAACATCTCAACTTAAAAAACATTGCATCATAGCAATATAGATCAACATACTAGGTAAAGAAGAAAATACAACTATACTACCAACATTAGTATGTAAACCATACAACAAACACTTCATGGTCTACAACATATCAACACAACATGACATTCAGTACCTTACAAGAGT